ACAGGGTGATCTTGCTTTTGCATAGCTTTGCATCTTTGCGCGCCGCCCGGTGTGACAGGGTGATGTTTGTTTTCTTTTTTGCTTGCTCGCGCCGCCCGGTGTAACAGGGTGATCTTGCTTTTGCATAGCTTTGCATCTTTGCGCGCCGCCCGGTGTGACAGGGTGATGTTTGTTTTGTTTTCGCTTGCTCGCGCCGCCCGGTGTGACAGGGTGATGTTTGTTTTGTTTTTGCTTGCTCGCGCCGCCCGGTGTGACAGGGTGATCTTGCTTTTGCATAGCTTTGCATCTTTGCGCGCCGCCCGGTGTGACAGGGTGATGTGTGTTCTCTTTTTGCTTGCTCGCGCCGCCCGGTGTGACAGGGTGATGTTTTTTTTAAGCCTATTTTGTTAGCTGTGCTCAGTGTGACATTGTAATGTTGGATTTGCTTGCTATCGCATCGCCTGGAGTGGCAGTGTGATGTTCTTTGCACGAGCTGACATTCTGGAGGAGCACTGGAAATGAAAGTGATAAGTCCAAACACTGTTTTTTACTTACGTTATCCGTCTAAAGGGATGCCATGGCTTTTTTTTGTCAGTCCTCAGTAAAGATCTTCCTTAGAGGTATCAACCGCGCCAATGCACACTTTGGATTTGGATTCGGTATTTTTCACATTAAGCTACTACAGTCAAAGGTTGAGGCTGTGAAGATAAGTTCTCCTTGTGATGATAGGTCCAGTGGTGAATATGAAAGTACTACTACGGCGGATTTACTACCCACTATGCAGCGTCTTTCGGAGCCAACAAAATAGATTGTAAGGTTCTTCAAAGGGATAATGTAACTTTGCCTTTTCAATGTTTACTATAAGTGTTTTTCAGCTATGTCCCTTACTTGGCTCAAGTTGGATGACATGGAGCGTTTGTTTGGCCGCCAGTGCCATACTTTGTAGAGTCTGAGCCAGTAGGAGAATTAGAGCAGCTAGCCTTGACTTCATTGGTTAAGAATTATTCAGATAGAAATTATATGTTCACCAGAGCAAGTGAGTTTGGTAAAGCGGAGCTAGCACGCTGCAAACGGAGTTAAGGTAGAGAGAATGCCCACGCCTAAGGAGCCAGGATGCAAGGGAGCGTGTGGGGAGCGGAGTGCGTGGGGAGCGGAGCGCGTGGGAGCGGAGCGCGTGGGAGCGGAGCGCGTGGGAGCGGAGCGTGTGGGGAGCGGAGCATGTGGGGAGCGGAGGTGTGGTGAGCGGAGAGTGTGGGCAACGGAGTGCGTGGGGGCGGAGCAATCGGGTAGTGGAGCGCCAGGTATGATGAGGAGCTGCTAAACCATAACTCTGTCACGTAGAAAAAGAAGCGCACATGGCTAGACGGGCGCGGTGGACAATTGGGTCAGGCGATGGCTCTATTTCATCTATATGAGATGCAAGTCGAAAATCATTGGATTCTAGAAGTATGCAATCGCCAAACTCCGGAACACTGATGATGTAAATGCTGGACTTTAAACAGCATGCAAATATGTAAGCAGTGAAGGCTGATTCGAGCAGGGCCTTAGTGACACTGTAATTAAAGCGCACGGGTTGAACTTAACTATTAATATGTCTCGTGCAGCGCATTCTGGCTCGTTTGCCCGCTCGATCTGGTCATTTGCTCGTTTTGCATCGCGTGGGGCCCATGGCGGAAGGGTGTTTGAACGGTTCATCATGCAAGACGAGAGACTTGGCTAAAAATATCTTTTTAAGTATGTATGACATACAAAATTGCCTTGCTCTTTGCGCATCCTCCTAAGGTGTGGCCTCAATCTTTGACCCTATTGGTGAACGCGCTCACAGTTCGGGCGAAATTGCTCTTGGCCGCTTCTTCGTGAACTGGTTCAGCTGTCAGTGCTTCTTGTTAGCAGTGATCTTCACCCGATAGGTCTGAAATCTGCCACTGTAAGTGCATCGGCTGGACACTGGACAGGTTGTAAGAGGTCCGATGATTTTGGTTCGCTTTCAGGCCCGGCCTGGGGTTTTGCCATGTATCAAGCGACGGAGCATATCTAACAAGTTGACTTTCACTTTGCTGTGGCAGGCCCTTTCACTGATGTTGATTGCGATTGGCTGCGGCAAGGCGAAGTGCAACGCATTTAAACTATACGGGTGATGCTGTACATTGATTCTTGCCTAGGACTGCTCTTGCCTTCTCTGTTTCGCCTGGATCTGGACGAATATAATGGAGTATGGTGTGCGCCGACAGAATTGGCATTTAGTTTAAAATTGTTCTAACTTTTTGTACTGCACTGAAGCACAAACATGTTGCACAGGTTGTAAGTGGTCTGATGATTTTGCTATGCCTTCAGGCCTTTGATTTCGCATTATCAATGAAAAGGAACGAATTTGCCAACCCGATTTTGTTGCGACAGGCCCTTTCACTGACACTGATTCTGGGTGGTCGAAGCCAGGAGAAGTTTACATGGTTTCGAGGAATAAAAGATGTGAAGCTGCAGAATGGCTTGCGCAGGATTGCTTTGGCCTTTTGTATCTCGGGGATACCTGGAAGAATATGATGGAGGATGGTGTGTCTTGAAGCACTTGGTGATCACATCCTAGCACCAACCTAGCGCATGTCAACACAGATTTTTTATACAAGGCGATTGTTTCATGGCGTCTATCATCGGGCGCTGTTGCGACCAAGCAGATTTGGCAACACGCTCCAACTGCTCCTTGCCTTGCCTTTTCAGTGTGCAATATCTAAAGCATAGTTGATTTGCCCACTGCGAGTGAACAAGGCGACTACTTTATGCAGGGAATCATCCGTCGTCTTACTCACGTATGCCATGCCGGTTGCTATGAAACCATTCAATGTGCCTTGGCCGGAAAACAGCGGAATTGGTTTGAATTTGCGTGAGTTTGCAATGATACCTGCCAAGGGCGCAATTCTGGATTTGGATTGAAGCAAGTTGCCACTGGTGGGTGCAAAGTCAAGGAGTCAAATGTGAAGCTGATTTCTTGCCCATTGTGGTGTGACTCGCTTGTGAAATACAAGGTAGTACGCTCACATGCCACAGGTGTCTCATGTCGATACCGTAGATGCACATGGTAGCCTGCAGGTGATGCCCTTGCGTGGAAGATTGCGAGGCGGTGTCGCAGCACGACTTCATTTCCAGTGGGGCTGGAGCTTCCCAACTGGAAAAGAATTTCGCGGAAGCAGTGGTACTTCCGATTCAGGCTTGGACATATAGCTGTTGAGATTTGCAATTGAATTAAAATTCTTGTAAGGGGGCAGCGAGCGGCTCCACTACATGAACCACATGCAGAGGCTGAAAAGCAAGCGGCAGCTTTGTTCGCCTTGTTCACATACTGCTGCTGTCGACCCGAGGCTCCAGCGCAGTCAAGAAATGATACTGGTCGGCTGCAGCCTAAGGTTTTTATAATGCTCAACGATTTGTGATTTTGTCGAGCTTGCTGCATTGCGGCCAAGGCCCGGAACTGATGAAGGTATAACATGCCAAGGCGGGCGTAACTACATCCTTCTCCAGTTTCTTGCTTGCTGTGTGTCCTTAGCCTTTGTAACCAGCAGATACCTGGTGCTTTCCCGATTCACTCTCATGACGCCAGTTCCACAAACAGCTGACTTCCAAAAGAATGCTGCTATGTGGAGTATCTGGGTCCAATTCAAATTGCAGTGGTGGCTTAACACTTTCTGTGAGCCGCCCACATTCTTATTTAAGGTGATTACTTTATGAAGACGATTGTCAACCGCTTGACCTGTGAAGTTGGTCAACGGTATCTTGGCCGAGAGAAACTAAATGACCATATGTGAAGTTTGATATCCCAGGCCACCATTGTCCAAGCGCCAGAAGCGGCGACGGTACG